ATTTAATATCATAGCGACAGTCTCGCCGTTCTCATTTTCCAAGAAGTAACGTCCACTCAAAATTCCGAACCAAAGACTGCATCAGGCAGTGTGTGTTTTTTTTTTGTGTAATGTCCTATTTTCAATTACTTACGGATTCTCGCAGCCCCAAATGCGACAATTTTGCTTATTTACGTATCCCCCAGTGAGAAATGTGCCTTGTCGCTGAAGAAAATTTTGTTCGCAAAACCGCTATCCACTGCACCCAATCAACGTAGGCACTGCGTTGTAAATGGTCAGCTGCCTTTACTTGATGTGGGAGCTGGACTTAAGACAGTCCCAGCTCTTGAGAAAAAATATATTATTTTAATTTTTTTCGAAATGAAACTGTGTCAGTAATTTCTTTACAAATTAATCTCTTGACATAAAAGATCGACTAGTAGGTATTTGGACTGAATTGAAATTGTGATTTCATGCCTTCCCACGCTGTTTCACGTAAAGCGCTTCTCATATTTTTCTTATCTTTGAACAAAGAATGAGACCGCCGATTTGCTCTCTTCACTTTCCCATTCTCGAGTAGTTTCAAGAGCTCATTTCGCCACAATGCACTTATCGACGACCTTCCAAGAACTTCGTACAAATGAAAAAAAGAAACACACAATCATAATTTTTCCCCAATTGCTTTATGGGAATGTAACTATAACGGTAAAAGACTACACAACGGTGTGTGTGTGTGAATGTGTGTGTGAGCTTAATGTGTTAGGATTTAAATTCTATTTTACGGTAACTAATTTTATTTATTAAACTACCAAGTACATACATACATAGTATATAAATATATGTATGCAAATGTATAGGTGCAAGAAAAAGAAAATAAATCGAACGAAAATACATTATAAAGGTAATTAAAAACTGGTATGACCAGACTCATGAGGAACTGCATAGACGTATGTAAACATAATCGTGTGTGTATGTGTGTAAACTCACAAAGTTCATATTTAAATGCAATTGCGTTCTTGTGGTTTATAGCTCATTTCATTATTCCAGCCTTTTTCGTCATTCCACATTTGTAGTGAATAATTATCGTATGCACTTTTATGATTCTTTTAAGGATAAGCAATAAAATGTGCAAAACGCTGTGTGTAGATGTCATAAAATCAACCGTGACTAGTCATGAGAAGGAATGGAAAAATAAAAAAATATAAATTGCACACAAATAGAAAGACATGAAAGCAAAATGTAAAAAATTGATTATTCAAGAACAAATTAAAAAGGATTTATGGTTTCATTGATATGAAAGCGCGGCCTTTGCAAAGCTTCGCGTAGACAAACGAAATGGAAGATGCTTTACACATCTCTCTGCTTATTCTCTGCACCAATTCGTGCTCGGATAAGCACCACTCGGAACTAGCGCGAAGAAAATATACCGAACCTGGCCTGATAGAATCACTTGTTTTGAATTCAAATTAACCTCTTGGGATTGCAAATACTTTTCTTATCTAAACACATGTGCATATGTACCATATATGAAATACGAGTGGACTGACAAAAGTTCGATTAGTTGAACAGAAAAAAAACTTCTTTTTGTATTTATTCGTAATCATGGCGAATTTCTGTTTGCGTTGATGGTGGAAGTTCTTCTGACCTATACTCGACTGTGTTGCGTTTTCTCGTCTCGATCTCAGCCGATCGTTCGTTCTGAAATTCGAACGGAAGACTAATAAAGTGATTGCAAAGGATTTGGTATTTTTATAACTAACAAAAACAAATTCACCAACGAACCGAACTTTTGTTAATCCCTTTGTATATACACATATGTTTGTATATTTTAAGTATTTGAACACAAGCAATTAGTGGCTTTTGACGCGAAACAATTAAAATATTTCCACCAGACAGATGAGAACCGAAAACCAGTATTGCTTTATTCCATATGACTCTTTCATTCTTATGTTATACTAGTAAATTTCTTCGCTTTGTTATAGCCCAATATTCGCTTGTCAAACGTGTTGCAAATAATTATCACCTGTTTTGTCCGCTGACAAGTACTTCCATACAAATATATATCCATACAGTTGCCAATACTAAATTCAATGCATTCTGTTGTACATATATACACGAACAACCATACATGCATACATACATACATGCATACATATACGCGTATTTTTATAAACATCTTCATGTCAGACGGAATACCTTAGACCACACTGTTGGCATGCAGACGCCACCTTCCTTCCTTCCAGGAACGCGCAACAACTGCACTCTTACATATATGGATATGTGTGTTTATACGTTTATGGATAGCATATGAATATGCACATTTATGCATACATGTGTATATATGTACACACACGCCTATTGATGTCTTCCAGAGTGCGCGAAATATCCTTTGATGACATTTTCGTATAGACCAACCGCAATGATCTTGCTACACTTGCCACATCAGTCCAAGTACTTGAACGAGAGTTCACTCTAACTGTAGCCAATTATGCATGTATGTATGTACTCCTATGTATGTATGCAGCAGAGGTACAAACGGTCGAATGTTTGTAGGCAAGTAAGTAGTTGGTGTTAATAATCTCTGGAGAATTAATGCTCTGGCCGCAGAGTTGATTAGTGGTGATTCTTCTTTATGCCCCCTTATACTCTTTAGGTAGGGTATATTAATTTTGTTCTTCGGAGAAGTGATAGAAATATGGACTGAAAAAAGAAAGGTGGTTTATACATACTGAGTGCGAGGTCATACAGTCATCGATGGAATTCAAGCTATCTGACAAACTGGCGAATCTATAATCGATCTACCAGTTCCAATCTGCGAAGCGAAGCAAACGCAAGAAGTAATCCTGCTTCGTCAGGCGAACAGACTTTGGAAATTTATTTGCAAAGCTTATGATACTAGACTCATAAACTTTTCACTAGCGGTAAGGCGACCGGATTCCATACTGGTGATAGGAGTTTGAACTTGGCATTACCTATTGCGATCGCATACATGTAATGTAAGTCTGACAGAGGACAACAAATGCAGGTTATGTAGGGAACGTGTGTTACTTTGCTTGCCTAGCGCAGAGAGGCTATAAGAGCATCCAGCGGCAATACGACTACATCAATTTGTGAAAAAACAGGAGTGTTCTTCAAACTAGAGCCACAATAAAGAGTGTAGCAGTGCATCTTGGTCGTATACACGGCCCGCTGGGTCAGCCAGTTCAACCTAACCGAGCCGGCCTGGTCAGCACGGAATATCATTGATCTCAGTAAAGCAAAAGTAGTGAATGTATAGATTTGCAGATTAATGAGCATCTACCATAATAGTTCTACCTTAACCCAACCAATCTTAACTACCCTCCATTGGTTTATTGGTTTCTGTATTTTTCTTTATTTTTTTTTTTTTTGAATGCCGGCAAAAGTTGAATAGAGCTTCAGATGTAAGGAATGTATTTACAAGCAAAACTGCATAATTTAATAGGCAATTTTCTCGACAAATGTACATACATATATGTATATGTGTGCAGTAAGTAACTGCTGCCGTCAAAAGCTGCTTGAAATGCTTGCATGTTTACAGTGCAGGCTGCGTTTCTAGGGTTGTCGCACAATTACGACTTGAATTACCCTCTTTGTTTGCGACCCATTCCCTGTACACTGTACACTGTACACAGTGCAACCCTTAAGCTCATGCTGCATACTTCATCAAGTTGCATTGCTTTATGCTTTATATTCACATTTAAATTTCATCTTCTCTATCTTCTTCATTGCTCTTTCTTTTGGATTTTCTCTTTCTCTTTTCATACTAAAAAATGCATAAGCTTTATTGGAATTGTTTAAATATGCGTTATAGTTTGTTTGGCCCTCTGTATCTCGTTGCAATATAACAGTAAACGAGTATATCGTATGTATGTAGGTATAAACGATCGACGCCAAGTCTTCCGGAGAAATTGTTTTGTTAAATGAAAATTTAAAATGCAAACACCCGAAGACCTCCGTCTCGTCTTTATTCCATGCTTTTGGACGAACACAAGAGTGATATTTCAAATTTTAGTGCAAATTATTTGAATGGAATCGAAATCAATCGAGGGCGAGTTTCTTGAACGCGTTTCTTTCCAATTTGATGATCTCATACTTTCCGATTAACTAAGTAATGTCCACAAAAGCTAAAGCAAGCCCAACTATAAATAAAGCGTTATCCTATTTTTCCAAGTGGTGTTCCTCAATTATCCCGCCATTATCCTTTTCAAAGAAGTAAGGTCCAATTACATCTTCAGACCAAAAACGCAGCAGGCAGTACGTTTTTTTGAGTGGTCAGTTGTTGTGAGAGCTGGACTTTATATGGATATAGTCTCAGCTCTTGGGGGTCTTTGTAGTAGGTTTAACGCGTTGTGCGTTTGTTAATCGATACATTTTCATAAATGCCTGAATTTTAGCGAAAACAATGCCAATTGACAGATGTCAAAATACACCCCTGGACATTTGAAACCACGAAATGGATTTTCGGAACTTTTCTTAGTAATTCTTATCGTTTAGCAGGACTCCAACGCGAATTGGTGCGAATCGTCGCAGTGTCTAACATCACTCTCTTTTACATAAATGTATACATTTTTATATATATATTTCAATTGAAATTATTTTACTCAATTTTTTTTTTAATTATTTTATTTACAAGGAAAGGAAATTAGATTTTTAGGATATGCTTAATATATATGTATATATATATCTTACTAAATCTAACCTTTAAGTATGGGTATCCAGTAGCGTACTGGCGATTACATGTGATCACACAATCACAAAAGAATGCCACAAAAATTAATTTTTTTTTGTCTGCCTACTTTTATCGATATAGAATCCTCTTTTCTTCGTCCTCTTTTCACAGCATCAATTTCGTTTTTGTATTGAAGTGAATGAGAGACCGTAAGTGAGAAGGGCAAACTAAACGTGTAGGAATGCAGTGTGACCACATAAGCAAGTAGAGTACCGATCTTCTTACTCAACCAGCATTTGGTACCCTCAGCCTTGCCGGCCTTTAAAAAAAACGAGAAAAACAAACTTAATTTTTGGCGAAATACAATCAAAATATGTACATACATACATATGTGTTCATCTATAAATGAATTTCCTCCAATAATTGGTAGTCTCCCTGAGCAAAATCGGGGAAGTAGGACGATGATGGTAAAAGTGAATTTTTCCCAAAAAGTATTGGGATTGATGAGACGGGGCATGCATATCAGCGATATATGTATGTAGTAATAAGTTAGCTACATACTTATTAGTATATAAACCAATTTTGACGCGAATGACTGACGGAAGCCCACAGGCTTTGAAGGTGAAAATAGGAAAAGATTTTCCCAAATTTTACCCTAAGGAGGTAAAAGGGAAGCAAACATTGAATGGTAGAGTATTGCAACGATGTGTGTACGCAATGAACTCCCAGAAACATAGATAGCTCTGTTTTCGCAGGTTATTAGGTGGATAACTTGTCGATCCAAGAAGTGGACTAGAAAGCGATCTATTCGAATATGACTTTATTTCTGGCTCGGTTTGCTCGATTGTTGGTACAAAGAAAACTCTTTGCTTGCATTATTATTATATGAAGAAAACTAATGTTGTGTTAAATTGAGACCGTAGAAATCAATTCCACAGCTTATTATAACTGTTTATGGAAATTTATTGCGGGAAAAGTCACGGTCAAAAAGCAATATTCCGATAAATGCTGAGTTACTAAGTATGGTGAGTAATAGATTGTTCTACGTCCTGTCATCGCTTCTCATAAAAGGTTAAATCTAACATAAAGAAATTTGTCAGGTTATTTTGAGTGATATTCATTTATATTACCTTGAAAACATCTGACGAGGTATTTCGGCGGAATGGACGGAAGGAGATTTTTGTCGAGGTCTTGTAAGATATTGCGAATGAAGCCAATAAGCTTCAGCTTTTTTTTACAAATCTGCTATGTGCAGGTTAGAGGTGTAAAATTAGTAAAATCCCATGGCGAAAATGCTGTCTATTAAAATCTTATCAGTGCCTAGAAGGAGATTGCTGGACCGTATCGCGCATTTTACATCTTGCATATTTGACATTTCGAATTCTCCTTCGTCTGCACGTAACCAGATATGCGTGTGTGTGTACGTTGCATACAACTGTTGTTGTTTCTGCCAGCATGTTGCATGCACATTGCCTGTGGATTCCATCAATATTCATAAAATTTTTCAAATTTACTTTTATATACATTTTTTCTTCTACTTTTTGCGTTCTTGCCGTGCCCCATGGCTCTTACAATGAACGTGTGCACTCAACTAACACAGTATGGCCTCTCTCTGCCTCCGCCACTCGCTCACCACGATTTGTTGTATCCTGCCATGCATTCAGTTGCAGACTTGAGCAACAACAACAGGGAGACGTGAATACCTCCTGGTAACTGCTAGCAATCCTCCCTGCTCTCACGACTGCTGCTACGAGCAGCACTTGTCCAACCCTCCTGGTTAAATACTACACGCGTATGTGCGTATGTCCGTTTGCACTGGAATGCCTGCTGGTTGGTAGCGACAGTCAAAATGCAACACCGAGTCTTACAATAGTTTAGTTTCTCATTGAAAACGCAAGCAAAACAATTACTTGGTCGTGCGTGTACGTCGTAATGCCGAAAGTCAGCCTTTAAGCAAAAATTTAAAACAAAATAAAATTTTTTGTTATGTTTTGAAAATTTTAAAAGTTTCGTCAAGTTCGTTTTGGGGGAAAGTGCAAAACTACAAATCAACGAAATTTAAAATAAAATTAATATGAATTCTTAAAAAATATTTTGGAAAAAATGTTACTAAACAAATTCTGTCGACTTTTGCTCTCGAGCAAGAAAGGTGCGAAAATTCAGTGAAACACGCGAAAGTTGACACTATGAATTGCCGTCGCGTTGGTGGGCTGACTGACATGACGGCGTAAGCCAGAGCGGCGCGTTTGTCAATCAATCATTCAAATTGCTTTCGGCTACGCAGTAGGAAATGTGTTGTAGTTGTTTGTGGCATTACCAATGCGCAAATTTGCATGCAAGAAAACGCAAGCGAAAAGCACCATCTGCGACACGCCCACCGCCCAACCCACACCAACGTCAAAATACACACCAAGGCGGCTCCAAGCCGGCAAATGCCATCCTGTGCTCAATCCGCCCAAATAAATAAATTACATTAATGCAATGAAATCTTAAAACTTTTATTAAATTGTTAAACCACGCGCATTCACGTTTATTGTTATTGTTTTATTTATGTTTGGCGAACTGAAAGTTGTATTTGTTGAAAGAATTTTTGGCAAAAATCTCTAAACTTTTTTAACGCAGAATTCCGAGGAAATTCAATTTTGGAGTAGAAATACAAAAAAAAAACGAGAAAATAACTTATTTTTTGTTAAATATTTTTAATTGAGTCTTTATTAACTTTTTGTTGAATTAAATATATGTATATACCGAACGAAGATAAAAAAAACACACATAAATACACGCACGTGTATGTAAACATGTTTTCATGAGTTTGTATTTGTTGCTATTATTGTTTAAATGTGAACCATTCATGACGTGACACCATATTAACTGCAGCTGCAAAATTTATAACAACAACAACAACAACAACAACAGCGACGACAGAGGAAAGCACGCATGTAACCAACTACACGCTTAGATATGTTATACATACATATATACAAATCTATGCTATCGCGCAACTAAAAAGCTCAAACCAAAAAAACCGCTTTAACAACAACAGCAAAGCAAAATTTCACAACAACACATGGAAGACCTGTGAGTTCTGAGTAATTATTTAAAAAAAAAAATAATGTATAACTACTGGCCAACCACAATTAATCATTAATATGTAGATAATTTAAAATAAATATGCAAAATGTAGTTAAATTTAATGAATTCGAATGCAATGTTTAAACTTTCGTTTGGGTTATACTAATACGTGGTACGATTGGTACATTTTGACATGCAATTCGAAATCTCTATTAGTGTTTGTGTGTGTCATCACCTTTAGGAACCCATTTTATATATATAATAATAGCATAGAATGCATTTTAATTAATTTTATATTTTTATTCTACTTGAACCACAAATTGATGAGCAATAACAAGCTTGACAGCAACGCAAATTTTTGAAAATATAAATTCAATTTGAGAATGTAATCAAATATAAAAGGTCTTTTTCGGGCTAAATATAATCAAAACAAAAATTGTTTAATTTGCAAGCCTGAAATGTTTCTTATTATGCGAAGCATACTCATAGGCTTTCCTTATAAATATGTATTTGAATTCACATTTGGGTATGTAAAAAGCACTAAATATAATCACGATATGTGACTTTTTTCGATGATTTACATTGGTTATCTAAAAAAAAAAAGTATTGCCTACTTTTAGGCGTTTCACCGCACAAAGATTTCAAGCACGCATGTATGGAAGTTTCTCGCAAAAAGAACCGCAATAAATGTTAAATTACTACATTATATTATGTATTGGAAAACTAGATCTGCCGTGGCTGCATACATACATACATAGATTTATACACCCAATTTTTATTTCAATATAATCAATAGGGGTATACCCCAGATATATTATTTTAAACATATGAAACACATGTTTAAAATATAAATAAATTTACAGAGAAATCACAGACAAAAAGGCAAAGAAACGCAATATTTAGAATAGTTCGATACTTTAACAACAACAAATGGAGTCAAAGTTTTTAAACTTATTATTTTATTAGACAATTATAGCTTAATGTATAATTGATATTATATCAATATATAAATACATAACATGCACTTCAAACGTATGTCAGCGCATTTATGTAAAGTTGTTCATCTAAATTAAGCCGTTCGCATGCTAACTTTTCAATCGCATTAAATAATTGTTTGACAATGTCGCATTCGCTGAACATGCCCCACCAACACGTCATCTCTCGCCATGTCAACTTACATATTTTGCCTACATACATACATTCATATGCATATGTGTAAGTGCGTAATCGCGTTGAGCGGTTATAATCATCGTTATCACGTTACCCGACAATGTTCAATAACGTCATTACCCACACACAGAGAGATATGTACACGTATGTATATAGTGCAGAGCGCTCATCATTATCACCATTGACAGCTATCACCTTCTCCATCATTATCAATACTACCATTGCATTTTTTGTCTTCTTGTTGTTGCTAATTACCTATACATATTGATCTACAACGTGAAAAGCAAAAACAGAGAAATGTCTGCGTCGCTGCGCCGGCTGTCATTTTTCGTGCGCACAACACGGTAAACAGCAACAACCACTTTTATTATTTTGTATTTCGTCTACAAAATGGCGGGAACAATTCATATACATCCATATACATATAACATAGTACATATATATGTATGTACTTTTTTGCTGATGTTTTGTTCCACCATTCATTACCGTTTCACCAATTCGTATTCGTGACGACGACCACGATTACGACGATGAGACCATGGTTACTTATTTGTATGCTTGTATGTATGTATATATTGTACATACATATATACATACGTAAGTAGGTATATACTCACTAGCAAATATTCCAATATGAATACGGAAAGAATTTTTATTTTTTCGCTGCGAATTTTGTTGGTTTTTTTTCAACTACGATCATCTGTTTCTCATATGTTTCTTGGATCAATGTTCCAATTGAAAGCTACAAATTATTGCCGAAATGGACGAAACTTGTTGCCAGGGAAAAGGAATTTTTTTGAAACCAGATACTGGAGCCTCCGATACAGAGCTCTATTGAGACGTCACTTCTGTCAAATTTATTTCACTTTTGGTTCAACAGTGGCACACCATAAATTCTTGGAGAAGCTGGGCGAATTTTGTCAAGTCAGGTTCCGTTGGTTCGATCTCCGCCATAAGAAGTCTGATTAGGAGATGTGCTGAACTTAGTCGTCACTTCTATTTATGAATTTATTGGTGCACGTGCTGTATTTTTTAGTGAAAATCTAAAAGTTCCCTTAAAAAAGAACGCCATAACTCACTTAACGAAAGGCTTTGAGACTTTTTACTTGAAAACTATAATTGTTCTAATTCGAAACCTCTACGATTTTTTTCGCGAAAATGGATTTTAACATTTTTATTGCAGCAAACTGACTGGTGGTCCGAAAAATTATCAGTCATGGGGAAAAATTCTAGTAGTGGTCGTTCTTCATTAGCCATTCAGAGGCGGTGAAATCCGTTTATTAGTTGGAAAACACCACAAATTGGAGAAAGAGCTCAATCGAAAATCTCTTCAGCGGTTAAGTTAGGTTAGGTTAGACTTATTAACCCCTTGCTAAGTCCCACATAGACGTTCATAGTGGCATATGACAAAAGGCCTGTAGTTTTTACAGTGGTTATATAGCGACATTTAAATAAAAAATATGTACAAGGCGGCCGGTCAATATCAGATCGGTTAGTATTTCCTAGTGACATTCGGAAGGTCTGGGTTTCGTGTCCAGCTCCAACCAAACTTTCAAAAAATTAATTTTTCCAATGGCAGTCAAACCCTTCGAGCATATTTCTAATGAGAAATAAAAAGCTCCTCATAAAAATCCATCGGCCATTTGGAGACGGCTTAGAATAGACTGTAGCCCTCTCCAGTTGCTGGAAAAACATACATATATATATATATAATATACATCCAATACAATAACAGCTAAATATTTTAAAATTATATTATTTTCATGAAATAAATACATATGTATATGAAAATGAATGTCAAGTTTTATAGCGAGGACTGAGAACAAAAACGTGATAACCGAGCACGAGCAACAAAACTTGCTGCGTGAAAATTCCAACTAAGTCAACTTGCATTCTTTTGGATTATTTTCAAATTTCCAATTTATCAACACTGTTGAACATCAATCAGCCTATCAATGCAATAGACTTAAAGGACATGGGATGCATGTACATACCAATACATAAACGAGTATGTATATCTATGTATAAATCCATCATTTGCCATATGCACCTAAATACATTCAAGTATAGACGCACAGACGTGTTCACTGGAGATGCCAGTACATAGATATGTACATACGTATGTATGTGCCTCCGTTTTTTCACTTTTTTTCTTATTTTTTTTTTATAAATGCCTCTCAAGGCTCATTCCAAATCCACACAATCAAGGCTTGCATATGTTAAATGCAAAAAAAGAGGACAGTTTCGACGACGGCGCTGCAGCTTACTTTGCGACAGTGTTCGAATATATAGATACGTATAGAAATCTGTACGTATGTAAGTCGCATGTGAATATCGTGCTGTTTGTTCGATTGCCTCTGTGAATTTTACAAATCAACAGCAATTACAGTACACATTTAACACAAGCATACAACAACACATGGCATCCGCTTCATCCCCGCAAAAAAAAAAAAAATTTTACCACCAACAATCGGCACAGTAAAAGTGCTTCAATCCAATCTCACCCCTTTTTATGAAATCTACATATGTACATATGTATGCAGATTTAGCTGCGGCCGTTGCATGTGTGAAATTTTCACTTTTGACTACTTTTTTGCAAACCATTCTATTTTTTAAGGCTGTTATACGCACTCAATTCTATTTTTTTTTTGTCATTTTTTATCCTATAAGACACACATACATGGATATTTTTTTACATCAAAGCGCGTGTGTGTGTTTTTTGAGACATCTGAGACCCCCTGATTTTGACAGCGTGAGTAAAATTTTTTGCCCACCATTTTTTCTATGTTTATTTTTTTATTTTTTATTCGTTCGTCTGGCTCATCCTTGCCTCCATAGCTGCTTCTTCTATCAATTAGAATCCATATTTGCTGCGCAGAATTGCATGTAGTCGTATACCCACCGAAATGCCTCCCTGCTTTCGGTGCTGGTCTAGTCATCTCATTGTTCATGAAGCAACCTCAGCTCAGCCCAGAGACTTTGCCATGTACATATATGCATGCATTTGTATTTTTGTATTTTTTTGTTACCTCTTGGCTGACACAGGGGCATAATGTGTGTTTGAAGAAGAAATACACATAAGTGCTATAAAATCTATCTACTCATTTGCGTTCCTTTTGTGCTTTATTCTGTTCATTCCTTCTATTTAATTCTTTTTTTTAGTTTATTTTTTTCATTTTCAATCTCTTTTCTTCTGTTATGGTTATGAATTTCATGGCTGCAGAAAAACTTCCCACGATCCTTTTGCTAAGTCGACGCATAACCATTCAATGCTTGATATATTTTTTCTACGCTTTTCTACGAGTTTTTAAATTCTCCTCCTTGGTGATAAGTCAGCATTTTGCTTCTTTTTTTTCTTGAAAGACTTCTCATAACGCCCATAAAATAAACGATTGCTGCACTTGTTCCCAAGACTATAACTATTTTTATGCTAAAAATAAAACATAAAAAACCAAACAAAAGCAAACTTTAAAGCATTTTCCAACTAATTGAAACGGTAACCTGTTTATATGTATATCTATTTTGAAAGAATATTTAAACACCTTTTGAAGAGAGAAAGATGCAACCTGTTGGCATATCGTTCTCGTGACCGCACCCGATGCTCTACCCGCCGCCTTGCCTAAGTAGCAAGCAGTACAAGTATGAATGAATTTTGCGACTCATAAGTCTGAGTCCCGTATAATCAATTTACGTTCTTCTCGAGCGTTATTATTTGCAACTTGCCGGTTCTTCGAAAATACAACCATGCGAAAGCTCTTTGGACTGGACTAGAACTAGCCGCCTCCGAACGGTTGATGAATTTTTATTAAGAGCTTTTTATTTCATGTCAAAAATACAATCGGAAGAGTTGACATTCCCGCAATTTGAAAAATTATTTTAAGTTTTTAATCTAAATTAATTTTCTATAATTTTTCTTCTTCTTATTTTATATTAGTCGCACCAGGCCCAACTTGTAGTACGCTCAGCCATCGCGGCAGGAGCGTCTTAGCAATTGTTATTGATTACCAAATCATTGGGTATTCATTAAGTGAAAGAACTACGTGCTCCTAAGAATTTTTAACATTGTCAAGGAAAATTCAGGATTTTAAAATCTTTTCAGCTAGTCATATGAATATGGCAACACTCATAAGAGTATTTTTGAAAATCGGATAGTTGTTTAGGGTGGGCTGTAGGCTCCTACGTTTTGAAGAAAATCATCACGAATCGGTGGAGAACTTCGACTTGCTCAAGCGTTTCAAAAACGACTTTTATGACTTTGGCTTTATTTAGTAAATATTTCTGGCAACATTATTTGCTACTAATCTCTCGTCGCTTGGTTATTTCTCTCGATATTTCCATTTTTTGTTTTGACCATAAATCGTTAAATATGTATGCATGTGGTTGATTAATTTGGTCATTTGGTACACTTATCACATTAATATACATATGTAAATATGTAATACATATTTGCGCATATATACATATTCGTGTACAAGAATGCATACAAACATGCAATGGGTGGCACTTAGACGGAGACAAACTCAAATAATTCGCTCTTAAAAATCACACAATGCCAGACATGCACTCGCATCAGATGGCAACACTCGGTCCGCCATCGACTCATAATTGACTTGGTTGTTTACATTTTTACGAAATGTTGCACGACGACCGATTGCAGTGCAACAACAAACAAGCGAGTAAACAAGTCAGTCGGTTTTCGCCAGTCGCCGACTAGGGAGAATCTGTGAAGAAAAAAAAAATGAATGAAAAAGCTACGATAGCAACTACAAACAAAACAAAGCAACAACCGCTAAATACCAGAAGAATTGCCAGCGACGTCACTTCCGTTTAACTTTTGTTTTCCACTTTAACTTCATTCGCTGTATATATACACGTAGAAGCAATGTGAGTGTGTGAAATGCGTATACGATGTGCATGTGTTGGTTACCGGCTGCCCGAACGTACGCACACATAACACAACAGCCGGCATACACACAGATACTGCATACGTACATACTTACATGCGTATATACATACATACATATGTGCAACACATTCACGCTCATGCCGCAGGCCCCAGTCTCCGGTTATCTATATTAGTATTGTATTTTAGCATCCACAAAGCAATGTGCTCGCTCGGCAAAAGAGTTTAAGCATTTCGGAACTCTCTTCTCACTAAATGTAATGCTCTGCGCAGAGATTTTCAAACGCGTGACTTTACAAACTACATGCGCACGGGCATGTACTCGTATATTCGAACGAGACAGGGTGTCCGCACACGCTGACTGATTGCGGTATGCCAGAGCCTCTTTTTCCAATTGTTCACTAAGGCGACTCTGCTGACGCGCTGTATCTTTCCAATGAGCTATTGCTCAATGTTTTGTAATTCTTGTTTGTGCTTTTTCGTGTACTGCCTGCCAACTTATTGCCTTTTCTCGTGAGCACATTAACATTAGCCGGGCGGGTGTGAAGGTCGGTATTCGTCCGCCGATGCATGGAATAATTGTTTTTAATTTTTTTTTTAATTCGTCTTTTGCTTCATATTTGGTTATTCAGTTTTATTAGAAAGTTTTCATTGACTTTTCAGTGATTTCTATTCTTTGTCTATCTCCTTTATTTATGTTTCTTTCGACGTTTCACTTTTGTCTCAATTATAAAAAACACTTAATTTGGCATTAAATTTATATTTTTTGATTTCATTTCAAATTCCTTGCATTTCCTTCTATTCTCACTGTATCTGCTCCACAAATGTCACAATTCACGTACATGTATGTATGTATGTATATTTTTGCGTACATTTGAAGATGTTGACAGTAAAGATAAAAGTCAAAATATGTAACAAACAGCTTTCGGTCGTCACATTAAGCGCGACGACGGCGCTACAACAATCACACTCGGCATACATACATTCATACATACACATACATGCATTCAGAGCTGTTGGCCCTCGTTTCTCTCCATTCCAATTCATCGTCTCTGTCTGCTTTCAAGTGCTTTTATGCCCTCTTGCGGGACTCACAAAAATTTTGCGCAGCGCCACACATGTTTAGTACCAAATTCACTGGCTCACTGGCTGGGTTCACTGGTCGTAACTATTTTGAAAAAGTAGAAATTAAGAAAAAATAATACAAATTTCCAATATTAGAAGAAAAGTGCCTTTTCATAAGCCAAAAAAGGTAAAAAAGAAGCTGCTCGATCAGCTCGCTAATTGAAGTGCATTGCAAGGTAAATACATACATATGTGCATATGTGGTAAACGATTTTTATTTCTATTATTTCCGTTCTTTGCTGCTTTTCAACTTTTCGTTAGCGTCATATTGCGCATTTGTGTCTCTTCTTCGCTGCTGCCTTTGTTTGGCTTTAACCATTTTCTGCTATTTTTTGGGCGGACCATAATTTGGCCGCCAACATAAATTCGTTAAGAAGACACGGCAATCGTGGATACATACCACATACATACATTTATACTAAATGCACAAACATATGTACATATATGTATATGTTTGTATATTAGGTGCCTTGAAGGAAAATCAGAAATTTAAATAAATTACAGTAATGTCAGAGAACCTGCAAGCACTTCTAACTTTCATCTTCTTGTTCTAAACGAGTATTTCTGCTAATAGACTAAAAAAAAGGTACTGTGACAGCGAGTAGCATGTCACAAACAAGTACACGGTTAGTAATTACAATATTTCAAATCAGCAAAAATAGCGGTTTCCAATTCCTTCAATACTATTGTGACTGCCGGTGAGAAGTTAAGCGGAATATGTGTCGAGAGCTGCCTACGTACCACGAACTTTGGCGGCAGAGTGCACGAAAGTAATATAAAGAGTATAAGAAAAGCAGAAAGTACAATAAGAAAAATCACGTCTTATGAATAACGCAGAATACAACATGTACATATGTACATGTAATTGAAACAACAATGATGGCGATGTGGCTTTTAGTGTTATAATTTTCTTTATTGGTCTAATAGGGGTGTAACAGTCCCAAGTGGCCTATAGAATCTTCATGTCCTTGATATCTTGTTGTCCTTTCAGCGGATTGTTTCAATGTGTTTAACTCAGACTGAGACTCGCTCGCTGTAATTAATCCCTCCGCTAGTTTTTCACCCGGCGATTTTCATATAATTCGAAACCACTGTTCGGCTAAATTATCATATCACTGTGCTCCTGGAGTGAGTGTTCGGTTAACCACCGCTTACTGTTGACTTAAATCCACGCAATGGTCCCCCCTACGATCTGACTCGCTTCAGCTGTTCTACACACAAACACACGTTCGGGCGAAAGATGAAAGCCGCATGTGAAGAGTAAAAAGTGAATAAAATTTATTTAAAATGAGCAAATATTTTATTTTCGCTTTCTGCTTAGCCCATATGAACTGAGAAACAAGCGAGCAATGTCAGTCGTCGTTTCATATGCGGTTGTAAATATATAAAAGAGTCACTATGAACCAGCTAGCTAACCAGCTGAGATGTGAAGAGAATTTACTTCAACTCATCCATTCATGCACACATTACCGAGCGTCATTGTTTGTGGCCTGCTGGAGAGACACCGGCTTTGACTTGGCGCAGATACAGGCGTAGAGTAGTCGATTTCCGTCTGGCATCTCTGCGCTCTGCGAGCATGTATCAAAGATACTCTGGTACTCACTCGGCCAACTTGACTATTTCAGTGCTTCGCATGTCGCTTTGATTGTTGGTTGTGCTGACTGGCGTCGGAGTCGTTTTCGTGCTCGTGCTCGGAGTAGTCATCCGTCGTCATTGCTGTTTGTATACTCTTGTTCGCGTTTCTGGTTAGTTCGTTTTTGATACATACATATGCATATATGTATGTATATGTATTGTATATGCTTACATACTTCAACATACCTTACATATGTGTATATAGTTTAGCCTTTGTTATCTGATCAGACGGTTCTGTGTGACTAGCGCTCAAGGAACAAACCACGAAACTCCTATCCCAAACACCGCCACACGCACAAGCTAAAGCGTAAAAAAAATTAAATTGAAAATTTAGGACGAAACGCTTCAAATGAAGCGATGCTCAATTGGTCCAGATAAGTTAATACAATTTCCGAATAGACAATGGGAAAAACAATAAACTCGCAACTTCAAGACTGCATAATAATTATTAAGGAGTAGTGCCACTAAGACGCCGCTTTGCTCACCCACGCCTCTGCCTAACAACGAATGCGGCTAAATCGTCGTTACTGGTGGTCGGTGCGGTCGACTGCTGTCCTCTATGCGTCGCTGTCTACCAATATTTTGTTATGTTGAAATCGCCGGAACGCTGAAGCGGCGAAGTCCGACGCACTCAGGGCAATTGACTTTTTCTCACTATACCCCAAAGTGGCTCGTTCGCCGCAGCTCAGCCGCACTGTTGAATTCAGTATTCAGTATTCAGTAGTCGTCAGCCAACGGCAATTTATAGTAGCAAATCCACACACCGGGTACCTGCTTGCTTGCCTGCCTGCCTATACCATATACCTAAAGTATATAATGTACATACCATACAGCATAACACACATACATACAAACATAAGCGAATAAATAACGTATTCAACACAAGAATCAAAGCGCAAATGGGAATGTCATAAAAATAAAATAATTATTCAGCACATACATATGTATGTATGTATATATCTTTTGCGGCCTTGTCATCGTTGAGAGAAAAAAATCGAATTCCGCATTGTTATTGTTGTTTTATGTGTAAAATACACATAGGAGTATTTGGATAGAAGCAGTTTATTTGCAAAAAGTGGAGACGCAGCACAAGAAATCAGCTGCAGCGAAGAAAAATTTGCACGATTAACCAAATACATATTTTGAAGCTAAAATTTTTCGAATTAATAAATTTTCAAGGGTTGTAAAAAGGTGCCAGCCTTCCGCCTGCCTGCATACGCAACCCTGCAAGCCGATTAGATATTTCAGTGCGGTTGAAGTGATGCTTTAAAAGATTGTGCCGCGTCGTGCTTAATTACATAGAGAACTTGTGCAACTCCGGCCACTATTTGCTCTAAGTCTTCTCGCGCTTGCCCCGCTGGCACTTGCGATGCGCCGTCTATCATACAGCTGTGATATACATACATATATATACATATATGTAGACCGATACTGTTATATATTCTCCACTCTTTCTCGTCGTCATCGCCATTTAAATTATTAGTGTTATCTTTTTTGTTTGTACGTGTTTAGTGTGTATGTGAACCAAGGCCCGTTTCATCGCCACCATTGTTGTTGGATACTCGAGGGCGGAAACAGTCGCCATGCCAAGCCGCAATCCCTTGTCGTTTATATTCGGTAAATAAATGGGAAATTAATATTCCACATTGATTATAAGGAAATGCGCCATTTGGAAACAATGTGGCAACGCCCGCGCTTTTGTTCATCTTTGTCAGCTATGCGAAAGTAAAGTTAAAGTGAATCAAAATTAGTACATACACACATCATATATATATGTGTGCGATGAATACACATTGAATACTCGCTTCGCTATAGGGAATCAGTCTTCTATACACTTCTAAATTTGCTCTCACACTTTCTATGTGCGGAAAAATTACGAAATTTGGTTGTAACTTTACTTGCACCAACCACGTTGGCAAGCAAAGAGAACGGCGGAGAAGACCAATTTCTTCTACTATCTTACCAATTGACAACGATATATACATATGTATGTACATGCAGCAGCCAGCTACATGGGACAGACGTACAATAAAAACCATTTAAGACGATATTAGAGCTCAGTAATCTTACACGGTTAGTATGCGCACGCATACATACACGCACACACACAATTGCTGATTAGAGTAAGAGAAGCATTCAGAACGCCATCGAAGCAAATATTCAACTGTTACAAGCAGCAGAAGCAAAAGTGCACAAAGTGCCGTATAACCGAACCCTGTAAGAAGGTAAGAAAGAGGTTAGACTAGAAAGGAGGTGGTTAATAATGAGCGAAAGAAAGTCCATACTACAAACAAGATATTTACTGGAATGCTTTTCGATTTTTTTTTTTTGAGTGCTGCGTAAAATTTATTAATGTTTTTTTTTCACCCGGCTGACGTCATAAACTACGCAGTGTTATCGTGAATCTTCAAATTGTGTAAATATTTCAATGTAAAGCGATATGAACAACTTAAAGTGAATATTTAGCTGTGTTAGTGATGATAAAAATGGCTTAAAGCAGGGAGCTGAAATTTTCATCTGATAGAGATTTCAAATTGTTCAAATCAGTTACGTCTGGCTCCGACAAAACTTATTCCGTGACGTTTATGAAGATCAAAGCCAATTAAAACTAATTTTGTTGTAATAAGGCAAAAGAAATTTAAGATTTTCGCAAAGAAATTAATAGATTTATCTTTCTTAAGAATTTCATTACTCTAAAGCATACTTTAAGGCGCATACGAGTTTTGAGCATAATTATTTAACTAGTTGCTAACCAATTAGATGAAATTAAAAAAACATTAAACCTTTGGAGAACATATATATATACATATATGGAAATGTATTTATGTATGCACATATTTGTCTACACACATACATATGTATGTGCAAATCTCACCTGTCACATTAATTCCAATGTCTTTTTCTGGTTCTTTCGCGTTTTTATTTTGCAATATCAAACTAAAACAAAAAATAAATAAATTTTATTTACTTTACTGTCATCAATAAATTCATAACACCACTAAATTCTAATCTAAACTTTGAAAATAAATAGCGATAAAATATAGCACAATCTGATTCACTTTTAATTTGCTAATAATATAAGGAAGAAGTGCTTTTCACGCTTATTTGTATAAAATATAAACGAGTAGAAATGTAGCAGAGCAGCTAAAGACTGCAAATAAAAGGTGAATAAAGTGAAGTGCAAAAGGTGAAAAAATGGCGAAAAATATGTGAAAACAAGACTCAATATTTATGTACATACTTATATACTTATATACTCCTATTGTATATTTGCATGCATGCAGTAGATGTGCGCACAGCAAATCAAGAAAAGTCAAATAACAACAAGCAAAAGTTAAAAAAATTAGCAATAAAACATTACAAAAACAAAAAAAAGCAATGAACGAATTAAGTATGCCAAAGAAAAAAAAATAGACCGATGAGTCCACACAATCAAAATGTGTATATAATATACTTTTAATTATATTTGAAATAGTGCTTGTTTTCCCAAGTTGAATAGAAAGGTAAAACTAGTTTGGTGAAAGAAATTTTGTCGTAAAATTGAGCAGTTTGAAATAAATTCAATATTTCGAATCTATTGCGCGCTTACGTACACACAAGTGCTTCTTATACATACAAATATTATATATATGTACATACAGACAGACATGACTCGTATGTGCTGATTTTATTTTTATTTATTTTTTTCTGCGGTATAAGCCCGGTTCTCTTGGTTGACTCTACATTGCTAATTTACCGGTAAAATCCTTTTACAAATATAGATTTGGGCATTAAATGGAGAATAATAAATTTATTTCAATGCTGAAAGTGTTTGTTAGAAATTTTTTGCGAAATTTGTGTGGCAGTGAAAGCAAAAGTGTGCATGAATTACCGCGAAATTTAAAAATCGAAGTTTAACCTTTCTTTTATTATGAATTTACATATCTATAAAAGCCTTGGATTTCACCTATCTCGAGTGTTGCAGTGTCGATACAAAGCAACGATGGGAGAAATTTGACCATTTTTCATGTTGTTAATTTAAAACAATTTTTTCTTATGGAATTTCAACTTTTTGTCACAAAGTTCCAACCACGGAATTTCCGCTTCTTCGTTAGGTTTGAGGTAATTTTCGACCATTTTTTGGGCGTTATCTTAGCCATAACTTGATCAATAATACTTTTCAAGTGCTTCAGATTTAGGGGTTTATTCACATAAACACCATAATCACCGTCTTTTGCGTAGCCCCACAAAAAAAATCCAACTGCCTCGCGCGATCTCGGTGGCCAGTTGACATCGCCATGACGAGAGATTACGCGGCCGGGCTATATTCGTTCGTGTTGTGTGGCATATGGCACCAACTTGTTGAAGTGGCGTGGCCTGAAAATTCGGTTATCATACGACCATAAATTTCTGAACTGACAGTCCAAACACGCCTTTTACCAATTGCTTGAGTAGTTGGGCGATTGCGATGTGCACCATAACCTCCTCTTAAAGCTTGCCACATTTGAATCACAATTTTGTAGTAAATTTAAACGATTTTAACGCGTTGTGCGGTTGTTAAGCGATACATTTTCATAAACGCCTGACTTTTAACAAAAACAAAGCGTGATTGGTTTGACAGTTAAGTTTGACAGATGTCAAAATACACCTCTGTTCTTTTGAAGCCGCGAATTGGAAAACTCTATAACTAATTGCTTTTAATTAATGGCCTTATAAATGAAGCTTTTACTTTCTCATTGCTCGTTTAGCCAAAGGGGAGAGGTAGGTCTGAAAGACACATGATGGCAAGGATTTCCATCTGAGCCGTTTTTTTTTTTATAAAATCATGAGACTTAATCTCAAAGAGGAATGTGAGAACTATGGAAGATATTCTTTGGAAGTTCGCTCCAAGCTGGTCAATTTTTCCGTCATTTTTTCACAATGTATGTATGTATATTTTATATTTACAGGCATTCATAACAACAAACACTCCTGGCGCATGTTTGTGCCCCACATACATATGTACATATGGAAATATGGAACAAAAGAAATATTTTTTCAGCTGCTTTGATAGCTGTTCCATTTTTTTAAAGAAAGAGAAAACAATATATGTACATTGCGGAAAACGTGAATACCGTTTGGTTGGCAATTTACTAAATTTGATGTGCGTTAAAGTAATGATGACGGCCGATGGCATTGGCATTTAGCGTAAAATAGGAAATAGTCTACACATATACATATACATATGTATATGCATTACGAATACGGTACATAAATATGTGTATACATACATACATACATACATACATATGCATATAAGCAAGCTATTTTTGGCTACACACGCACGCTGTGTTCGCCTAAAAGTGCCACTTCAACAAACAATAATCGAAAACAAAAATAAATAAATAGTTATTTGTCTTTATAAACAACAACAAAACGGAAAAAATAAGACAAAGAGAATGCTGAAAAAATGACACACACCAAAAAATAAAATTTTTACAATTATGTTGGTAATCATTGCAATAATTTTTATGTTTCTTACATTTACTCATTTATAAATATGTATGTATGTATGTTTGTTGCTTCGTGCTCTATGTACATTTGTACATGTGAATGTACATATCATATATTTTTTTATGAATTGTTATTAGTGCAATTTGCGAATTGACACAAATACGCAAAGTCGTATGCAGAATGTGTGTTGCCCGGAATATCTTCTTTTTTTTACTACATTCCACACACATAATTTTTTTTAAATTTACTTCATGCGTTCCATTTAGATAAAATAAGACAGTCGTCGGCGTTGTGCTCTGTTTTCAGACATTTTCGTTACCAATATTTGTTTATTATTGATTTTGTTAGTTATTACTGCGGAACTCAACTACCTTACATACATACATATATATGTATCTATATAATTATAATGAGCAATATGCCTGTAAGAAAGCATAAAAGCCAACAACGAAGGTAGCAATAGCACAATTCACTTATCTGCCTAACGTTTGACGTAAACACATACATACGTGTATGTATGTATGTACGAGTATGTATACGTGCCCAGCAAACAACGCGACTACTCCATGCACACGTGAAATAGAGCAATCCGAAACTAACCACAAGCTGTACAAAAAATATGGCCCAATGATAATCTAGGGTTGCACCATATAATCCATCTCTGCGTAGCACCCGAGAAAACCATGGAGTACCTGCAGTGGGTGGTTACATTATGGAGAATATATTTTTTGGTTTCGAATGCAGTCCGCATGGATGAAAACTTGGTGAAACGTTATATTCATCACATAAATGTATTTTTATACAAATATAATTATTTACTAATTTATTACTTATAAACATGTTTCAATTAGCGAGTTGGTCGACTCACAATGGAAAATATTACCTTAACTTCAGCACGCCTTCTGTGGAGGAGCTAAGCGAATGAAACAAAACTGGCCCAATTGAAACAAGAGCAACCATCGGCTAGCATGACTACAGAGGAGTACTTAATGGATTACTCTAATGAACCATTCGGCCCATATTTGCAGGGTACACGTATGTTTGTACATATACAAGTACATATGTACTTATAAGCTAACATAATTGGCAAAAACTTACGGGGCTCACTCACTTATTCGTTCAAGTATTGACGCCAATTTCTTCCTCACTTTATTTCGCTCATTTTTCTAATAATTATTACCAACAATTGAGGTATTTGCTTGCCATGCCATGCCATATTCAAATAAAGGGTGATTTTTTAAGAGCAATAGGAAAGTTAAAAAAAACACATAAAATATAGAAAAATGCATGAAATCTTTATTTGAAGCGATATTACGGTCCATATAATTTTATGTTCGAAGATTATTTCATGCAAATGTTGACTGTGACTGCGCTTCAAATGGTTCATCTACTTAGTTCAATTTTGGCATACTCTTTCCAACATTTCGGCCGGTATCTCACGAATAAATGCTTCAAGTTGTCCTTAAATGCGTCAATTGAAACGGGCTTGTCTGTGTAGCTATCGATTTAACATAGCCCCATCAAAAATAGTCCAAAGGCGTTAAATTGCACGATCTAGGCGGCCAATTGATCCCTCCCGAACGTGAAATAAAAAGTTCATCGAACTCGCCTCGTGCTGTGTGGCTTGCTTTTTGGGCAAAAAAAACTTTGATATCATCTTATTGTAGCGCTCACCATTCGCAGTTACGTTACGACTCGCATCGTCTTTGAAGAAGTGCGGTCCAATGATGCCACCAGCTCATAAACAGCACCA